TAATATCTAATAACTTAATTAAATAAGACAGAATTAAAATTTTATTTTGAAAAAATAATTTATTAATATTTATCTGAAATATAAATCTTTTTATACTAACTCATATTTTGAAATTAAATTATTTTTTAGTTAATTATATTATAAATATTATTATTACCTATCTTTAGAAATAATCTTTAATAAATCTTAGTAAAAGAATATATTCTTATTAATATATTATAAAGAATTTTTTAATATTATAATTCTTAGCAAAAATATATATTTTTAATAATTTAAGAATTATACTCATATTTAAAGTTAATTCTTGTATTAAAAAGATAATAATGTATTATTTATATAACTATTTTTAATTTAATTCTTTTATAAATTCTTTTAACTTATATATTTATTATTATAATTAATTTATTTAATGATAAAATTATTATTATTATATTATAACTAAATTTTAAATTGAGTTTTAAAGATATTTATAAAGAAATTAATATTATTATTAGTATTTTAACTAGTTAATTATTATGTATTTTTATTTTTTTCAGTTTTATTATACTTTATAAGTATATAATTATATAATTATATTTTTTATTATTATTTAATTTATTAATTCATATAATATTTTTGAATTTATTAAATTTTACTATAAAAATCTTATAATTAATTTTATTATATATTAGATATAATTTGATATTTCTTGTAATTATAAAATTTATTTGTCAAGTTTTGAATTATATTTTTTATTATTTCTTGTTATTATTATCTAAATCAGTTTTTATTAAATTTTCTTAGATAATTATTATTATAATTTATTATTTTTAATTGAATTAATTTATTAATTATTATTTCTATTATTATTATTCTCGTAGTCAATTAAATAAATTTTGCTTTTGAATCTGATTTTTCCTGTATATTTTCTAGATAACAACTATATTATATTATCTTATATAATCTAATAACTATTGTCTTGAAATATAAGTAATTTGTAATAATAATTATAATATCAAATTTCAAAGTAATTTTTACTATTTGTATAATTCTTTTATTTTAATTTGCTGAATTTTTATTATTCATTCAAGCCTTTAATTTCTTTCTATTAGTTGGTTCAATAAATTACTATGAATTTAGTATAACCAATATACTGTACTTTGCTGACTTTAAATTCCAGCTTTGATTCTTTTGAAATACATGTATAAAAATACAATTTCATCATTTTTCGATGCAAATATTTAGAAAATTAATCAACATAACGAGTGCCATAAGAATATTTAAAGTATTATAATGATTCGAATTTTTTTAAGAGATTCCTAATTGTTTACATGATTATGATCTGGAGTTATTAAACAAAAATATCAAAGACACTCTCAAAGCTAATCTAGAATAGTTTTTGTAAAAGCTGTAAAGTTTCAGCACAAAACAAAAAGTTATGTCATATGATTTTTTTTTAAGAACAAAGTAGTTTCATAGAGATATGTTTATTTTTTGAATTTTTCCAGTGCACATTAATCTTGCGATTTGATTGGTTCACCCGTAAAATATCACGGTCTGGGATCTTAAATTTGAATCGAATAAATACAAGTTTACTAAGAGATCATATGTTCATGCAACTCTGTGTTCGAAAAATTAATCACAAATGTCGAATTAGATCGTTATTTTTGAAAAACTATGTTCTTTTTGTTAATTTTAATACTATACCGATGCTTGAGAATTTTTGTTTTCGGAACCAAAAAATGATCGACGGAAACCACAAATTAATGTGTTTACTGAGAACATTAATTTGTAATGTTCGCCAAGATTAATCTTATTTATTAACTTAGATTTTTTGATTTTATAATTGAAAAATATATTTAAAGTATTATTCAATAGAGGAGAACACATTATTATGTTCTCATGTTCTTGAGAACATTGAGAACATTAGATTTCCAATACTGATCCTAACGCTAATTATGTTTTGATTAATTAGTCATCATGGAATCATATCTAAATTAATTTCTTCAAAGATGACTTCTCTGCTATCCTCTTCGTCTATTACTTTTCCAATAAAAACAAATCAAACTGCACGCATAATAAATGACGTACACACCGAAGTATTAGTAACCGGGTTTAATGACCGTATTTTTGTAATACTAACTCAATACGGAAAAGTCGGGAGTTTGGTATATAATGTGTATAGATTAGATTTGTATGAATTCTTGGATTTTTTCATTAATCAATTAAAACATCATCCAGTTACGCACTACTCTAGATTCCCCCTTACCAACCACCTTTCACTCGGATGCCTCCTCGTCAACTACGGAATCATTACCTTTAACAACAACAAACTTTTTATTAGGTTCTTATTCACTAAAATACCAAGTTTATGCATCACTCATTACTTCATTGATTGCACAAGACAATCCAAAAGAGACACGAGAGATTATTGTTGGATTGGCGTTGTTAAAAACGCAGAACAAGATTAAAAAATCATCTCCAAATGATCATACCATAAATTTGAATAATGATGGTGGCGACGATGACGATGATACTACAATTGATAAAGAACTCTTTCACGAGGTTTCTGCTATGATTCGAGAATGTCGCGTTTGGTGACATGATCATGTAATATGTCTCGTTGATTTCAATGTACAAATTAATGAATTATTGAATCGACGAACTTTTCATGAATTAAGTAAACTAAACAACACACACTTGGTTATATGGAAATCCAAGGTTTGATTTCGTAATTAATACCAATAATAAGTAATGGTGCATGAATCAAAATAATTTTTTCCTCGATAAAAACTGGGAGAGGATATAATATTAAGATAAAAATTGAAAATGTGACGAAATAAATAATTTGTCTATCACGTCATTATTATTATCATCATTATCGTCATCCACAAAACAAAAAAGTACTCGACAAAGAAAGAAATATTAAAATAATAATGATGATGATGATGATGAATTTGTGAATATATCATCAAAAATAGTATCAAACATATTTTGACATTCTCTATTCACAACACTACTTCCTCAGTTGTTGCACGAGTGTTATTATTATTATTGATGCCAGAAGTACCAGTATTATCATTGTTATTATTACGTTCATGATGATCATCAACATAAGCGCATTCGCTCTTGCCTTCTTGATTACCACTACCGTCTCGATGAATTTCTCCACATGGACATTGTCCTGCTTCCTCGGTTGAGCCGTAATCGCTAGACCCTTCTTCTATATCTTCCCCGGTAGTGGAAGATATAGGCGTACTGGGCCTTTGAATAGAAGGCGAGGATTCATATGATTCAACTTTTTGTTTGAGAACAGTTCTTTCGGCCTAAATCAAACCCATTATCGGTCTTTATTCGCTAAATGAACAAGAAAATATGCTATAGAAAAAAAAAAGATACCTGTAAAGCTCTACATAGATTCTCCAATTTTGTCTGCTTTTTCTTTGCTTCTTCTATAGTTTTTTGATCTCGTGCTCTCTGAAAAGACCAGTAAACCAATCAAACATAAATATAAATATAAAAATTATATATCTCTCCCCTATCAATATAAATTTTAAGGAAAAATGTTCTGACCTCTTCCGCCATTTCAAATATATTTTTATTCATGGTATCGCATTTGTTTTTAATAGAGGCATTCTCCTTCTCCAATTTTTTCGTTTTTTTCGTCATTTGTTCCATTTCTTTCCGAAAAGTAAGGAATAATTCATTGCTTTTATTTAAAGTTTCTTCAACAGCCTTGAATTTGTCAACATATACATTTAACTGTTTACGCAATTCAGTCTCTGTTTTTGTAAAGGCATCCACTTGATCTTTCAATGAATTCGCCTAAAAATTAAAAAGCAATAAGTTTCAATTATTATTCACAGGGAATTTAGTGATCTACGTACCTTAGCTATCTCCTCTTCTGTAATTTGACGCTGTTGCTGTAGCTTGGCTTCATACAATTGGAGTTCAAGATCTTTCGATCTAACAACGCAGTTGAAATGTTTTTCTCGAAGTTCATATTGTTCCAAAAAACTTCGAAACTTATCTTTCAACCTGATAATTAATAATACTTTATTATGTATGAAAGATAATTAAAGTGAAATGTGACAAATTTTCCATAATGCATACAGTTCATTGTCTTCAGCACGTTTTTTCTTTTCATCCGTATCCTCATCCATCTTTGATTTGATTTCCCAGATAGTGCTTTCGAACTTGCTTGACAGCTCTTCTCGCTTTTGTTGTTCAGTCGAAGCTAAACGTTTACTTTCCTCCTGTAATGAAAAAAAGGATTCTAATAAACATCACGGAGATATGTGATGAATTTTTAATTTCCAGCTCACCTTGATCCTCTTATTTTCCTTTTGAAGTTCTCGACATAGATTTTCCAATTTATGTTTCATCGAATTGGCTTTGGATAAGTCACTCTTAACTAGGAATATCGAGTATATCAGTATGGCATTTCACACGCAAATTTTTTAATAAACATATAATAATTTACCAGCATCTTTCTCTTTTTGTAATTGTTCATTACGTTTTTTCATTTTAGCATGATCCCGTTCGAGGCGTTTCATGTCTTGAAACTGATTTCAGATGGAGAATAAAATTAACAATCCAAATAATCCGATACTTGAATTCTCAGTTCTGAAACTTGAATAACAGATTTACCAGTTCCATATATCTTTGCTGAATAGTATCCAATTTATCGAATTGATCATCTTGCGAATTGATGATATCTTTCATTTCTTTGCTTGCCTTTTTGACAGCTTTTGCTAATAAATTCAAATTTTGCAATTGATTTTCAGAATATATTCTATAACGCAGGCATGTGTGTCGATAAATCCGAGAAAAGGGAACAATAAAGAGGAAAATAAAAGTGGGGTAACTTAAAAAGACGACACTGACTGAATATTAAACAAAAAAAAAGATACCGATAGCTTTTTCTTCCTCATCTTCAATAGACGATTCAGTTTCGAGTTGTGAGATCTTGTTTTGAATCATGTTATTAAGCTCTTGAGGATCTAGTGTTCTTTTTTTGGAAGACGCACCGCCATTTCGTTTGACAGTAGGGGATGCAGGGGGAGTAGTAGGAATCTTCGGAACATTTGGTCCACCATTGTTTACTTTCTCGTGGCTCGAAACGTCAACTTGGGCTTGTTGTTGAGCTTCGTGAGAGGCTGTTGCTTCGGTGGCAGGCATTATTATTAATTTGATCAGTGTTTTTAAAGGGAAAGTAAACAATTCAAAAAAATTCAATTATTTCCAAGGTTAATCTATATACAATTAGTAATTTATGTATTGATAATTTTGTCGAATGAATCCAGGTGATTCATAATGATATCCTGAGATTCACCGATTGCTGCGCAAAAGATTTCTTTATTGTCATGCAATGCAATCAACAAGTTGTTATCATCATTTTCAAAAAAGAAAAATAAATAGGAATATGACAAATTTTTTTCCAAATGTCACAATAAATCTGCTACTAATTGTTCATCAAAGGCAGCTTGTTTCAATATTTTTTCAATGACGGTTCCTATACCTCAAACATAAAACTCTTCCTCCACCCCTTCTATTATTATTATTGTTATTATTATTAATATTAGAGTTAGAGTTAGCATTAGTATTAGCGCTACTACTACTACTACTATTACTATTTCTATTATTACTTCCTCCAATTGCTTTTCTATTAAGTGAGCTAGAATGTTGCTGAAAAATATCATCCTCATCCTCATCATCAGTATCGCTGTGAGGGATTAGGATACGAGGACGACTTGACTGAGAAACGGTTTCTGATGTATTATCTTCCTCATCAACATCATCATCATCATCATCCGAAGAGTTTGGTGATTCAGATGAAGTTGTCGAATTATGATCTTCTTCTGTCTCCCATTCTCCAGTGCTTGCGTTTTCGTTTTCTGTTTCAGATTCAGATGCTTCATTTTCGTCTGATCGGATACGTGATGATGTCAGAATAGATGTTGCACCAAATGTTGAATTTCTTGTCTGCCGCAACCATGAAAGACCTGAAGATGGATCATAAGATCGCGTTGAATTTATTTCTTCTTCATTATCCTCATCTTCGTCATCATCCGAACTTTGTATCGTTAGTCGCACATTTCGGCGACGTTGAATTGGCAGAGGACTTGGATCAGTACTGTCGTTGTCACTTTCTCTGGACACGCGAACAGGACTAATGCTCATTTGTGTAAATCTTCTGGTTGGAAGTTCCGAATTTGATGACATTGTCACCGCGAACGAAGTATTATTCATCAAAATATTAAAGATATTTCCTCGTCTCATCACTTCTGAACCATTTGAACGTGTTGATTCACTCGAGTGTGTCGAATGAGTTGATTCACTATCATGCTCTTCAAACACTTGCTGTTGATTATCGATTATATCATCTACATCATCTACAGCATCATTTTGACTTTCACTGGTATAAGAATCATCTGATAAAATCTCATCTGTTGTTCTTCGATCAATGAAAGGATCATCCAAATCATAATCCCAATTATCTCTAGCATCGTCCGCCATTATCTCTCCTTCACTATCTGTTATGTTGCCATCTTCTTCTTCTTCTTCTTCTTCTTCATCATGATCACCATTTTCACCACCCTCATATACAAGATATTGTGAGCCACAATTACTGCAACGTGATCCAACAACTAATAATTTGATAGTAAAACTTTTCTATAAACTTTTTGATACACATTTAATTCGTCATCGTTTGTTAACACTTGCCTTCCCATGAGCATCTGGAACAACGTCTAGGTTGTATTAGAAAAATTCTTCTTTTTAGTGTCATCAAAAATTAAAAAAACAAGATAAATTGAGAAATCTTACCTTACACCGTCCGACGCATCTAATATTACGGGAGCTTGTTCAATGATTATATTCTCCCACGCATCCTCAAGACTGTTGAAAATCTCTTCCTTGGTTTTTAGCCGTTGTTTAGCAATATGTTTTTCATCGGGTGGTAATCTTTCAATATAGGTTTCAACTTGTTCTTTAACAACAAATGATAAGGCTGGTCGTTGCGTGATTTTCATTCGGCAAGTTGGACACTCCCGTCTTATTTTAAGCTTTTCGATAAACATTGAGAAATTAGATTGTGAATGAAATAACGTATTACGTTCAGAAAATATTTCAACTTCAAACAAACCCAATCCCTCAAACATTCATAGCAGAAAGTATGACCGCAAGAAATAGTACATGGATTTGACATAAATTCAACACAAATAACACAGGTAAGTCCTAAATACCAAGTGACAATATTTAATATTCAAAGCAATACAAGTAAACCTAAAACGTAAATTTTACCAGGCTTGAGTTTCTTGCTTTCAGCTTGCAAGGATTCAATGACTTGGTCTTTAAAGGCGACTTCAGCATTAAGCCGGGAAATTTCCTTTTTCAAGGCGGCAATTTCCTCCAAAGCCGTTTTCAAAGCCGCTGCCTTGCTTGACTCCAGCTTGCTTTCTTTTGAAGGCACTGATTTATAAATGGGTGACTTGATTGGTTCGCTATCCGTAGGTTCGTCATTATCTGAATTATTATTTTTTTTATTTTCATTGATGACAAGAGCATCAATAGCAGGTTTGTGACAATGTATAGACCGAAAACGTTTACGCTTGTGCTCGTGAGAGCTGTTTGTATTATTACTGGTTAATTTTTCCAAAGAATTAGTAGTAGCAGAAGATGACGCTATCGTATTCTCAGCAGTTGCTCCTTCCTCGTCTTCATAGGTGATTTGTCGCTTTGCCTTTAGTTTTTTATCACGCGCCATATTCGTTGAAGGTCAAACAAATTATTCGAAAGTAGTTAAAATGTTTGTATTACACAAGCCCGCCAGGATGTATGTTCGAGCATGTGATACATATGTCAAACAAAAACGGGACATATCCGTTTTTGCTATTTTTTATTGGCCGACATTACAAAAATTAACGCGAATCGAATAAGTTTCGCTGAAATTAAAGATATAATGCAAAATAAATAATTTTAATTAATAGGTTAAAGAATAAAATTATAAAGATATACGGTCAGGGTGCAAAATGTAGATATTTAATTCTAATACACTAGCCTCTAGAATAAGGAGTCGGCATCCGTTATTGATCACGTGACCAAACGCCGTTCATCGACGTAGTTTCGTAACATTGTTTCACCATGGCTAGGGTATTAGAAGTTGCAATAAGTTGCGACTTGCAATAAATTGTAGCAAGTTGCAATTTTTATTAAATTTTTTAATAAGTTACAATATATAGTTGTAATATAAATATTGTAATATAATAATTACAGCTATCATCTTTATATATGACTAGTTATTTTATTATTTTAAGCAATTAATCTGATAATATTATTTCTATATCTTTCATCATATCATAAGATATAGTATTTTCTAATTATTCTTTAACTAACTATACTTTTCTGATATTTGTAATTTCATTAACTTGAATAATAATATTAAAATCTTTTAGTAATTCAGTTAAATCTTGATCATTTCTTTTATATTTTCTGATTAGAATAATTATTTTTTCTATCATTCTGACATTCTAATCAGCTATTTAATTAGCAAGAACTTTAAAAATCTAAATTAAGTTATCTAGATTATTATTGTTATTATTATTCAAAATTATTTAATTATCTTCTTCTTCTTCTTTAGTTTCTGAGTTACTTTCTTCTGGATCTGTTTAAGTATTTTTTTTTGAATTAAAATAATTATTATTTTTTTCTGATTCTAGAATTAATATAATTTGAATAGAAGATGTTAATAAATCTTTTGAATTCTTGATTTCAGAATAATATCTATTAATATTACTATTATTAAAAGAAATTCTTAATTATAATTATAAAATAAAGTCTTGATAGATGAATTTTTAATAAAAATTATTTAATTAAATCAAGTTATTCTTCTTAAATATTAATATAGTTAAAGATAAAAATATTAACTAGTTATATTATTTTTTGTCTAAGATAAGTAATATATATCTCACTTAAGACAAGTTAAATTAATTCATAAAATAATAAATATGTGATTTGATTAATTGATACTACTTTAATATTTTTTATAAGTAAATAAAATATTTAAAATTATAAAGTAAAGTCAGATTAAAGAGAATAATAATAAGGATAAAAGTATTGAAGGGATATTCTAATAGTAAAATTAGAATCTTGATATACTTATAAGTGATAATTAATAGATAATCTAATAAAAAAAATAATAATTAGTTATAAAAACTCAAAATATAAATATTTATTAATTATAAATAATAAAAGAAAAGGATATAAAAGAATATAAAAAGAATATAAAAAAGAGTATAAATATAATAAGATACTATATATAAAGAAAATCTTTTTTCATAGAGAAGATATTAAAAATATATTATAATAAATCAGTAAGTAGATTTTTACTTGAATTTATCTTAATGATATTAAATTAGAAGAAAATAAATTAATTAAAGGTAAAGAGAAAGGAATTAGATTATACTTTTAATAATAATAAAGATTTCTAAGATCTATATCAATATTTATAAATATTATCTTTAATAAAGAAATAATAAAGAAATAATAAAATAATAAAAAATAAAGTAAATCAAGAAAATTATAAAGATTAACTAGTAAAGTTACTAATAATTAATATAATTTAAGACTTAAAGTGATTTAATAATAAAGCTACTATTAATTAAAGAAAGTTATAACTAAAAAAAAGTAAAAACTAAAGTAAATAATAAAATAACTAATTAAAAAGAGTATAACTTATTTATAATAAAGATTTTTTATTCTTAAAATAATAAAATAAATAAAAATTATTATAGTATTATTAGTCAATACTATTTAAATATATATATTATTATAAAAAATTATAATCCATTATTATAATATTAAAAATATCAAAATTATATTTCCATAGATATTTATATAAATATTTTTGTGAATATTTTGTAAATATTTTTGATCTTTAAAATATTTATGTTTATAGTTGTCATTCTAAATATTATTATTCTATCAAAAATTAAAAATATTCTTTAAATATACTATTCTATTATATATATAAAAAATATATTACATATAATCCAAAAATATAGATCTTAAATAAAAGAAATAAGATATAATATTTAAAAATAAAAATATAATAAAAATAAATATAGGAATAAAAATAAATATATAATATAAAAATAGTGATAATTATATAATAAATTATAAAATTATAGAAAAATAAAATTTCATATAATCAAGAAAAAATTATAAAATTAAGAAATTTTATATCATTATAATAATAATATTTTTACTATTTATTATTACTATCTTATAAAAGTTAATTTTATATTAATAATAAAAATTAATATAAAAAAATATATTTATAAATATTATCATTTAATATCTATTAAAATAATATAAGTTTTTATTAAACTATTTAAAGAAAATTTATTATTATCTTTTAAAATAACAAAATAAAAATTAATTTAGATATTTTAATAGTTAATTATATTTTTAAAATTATATAAATAATCAATAAATTAGTTATAATTAAAGATTATAATTTTTTCAAAAAAAATAAATAAAACTTATATTTTTAATATATCTTTTTATTAATTTTACTAATTTAAATTTTACTTTTTAGATTAATTAACTTATTATTTTTATTTAATTTAAATATTATATTAATATATTATTAATTTATATAATAAACTTATTAAATTTTATTATTAATTCTTAGTAATTTTTGTTTTATATAAAGAAAATAAAGTTAGATTTATTTAAATTCTTTTAAATTTAATAAAAATCTGAAATACTTAAAGAATATTATTAAATATTATAATCTATTTTATTTTTTAGATCTTAATTATCTAATTATTCAAATATATATTTTAGATTAAAATATTTATAATTCAGTAAAATATAATATAACTTTTCTTTTAAATAAGTTATTAAAATAAAATAAGTATAAAATTTCTTAAAAAATATAATCTGGTATATTAATATCCATATCTTGATTTAAAAGATTTTTATTTGTATAATACTAAAATCATATGCAATGATTCAAATAAATTTATTTTCATATAGTAAAATAATTATATATAGATATATTTTTTTTTGTAAAATTTATCAATTTCTTATATCTAATTCTTACATAAATTGAACTTCCACATTACTAATAGCAAATAAAAAATAAATAGTATTAAATATTTATAGATACTTTTCTAAGGCTATATTCATAAATAAATAAAATAAAAATATATTATTATATAAGCAAATTAATTTAGTTTTGGAAATTGTTGAAAGTATGATTAGAATTATATTGTTTGATTAGAATTAGTATAATGATGACATATTTACATTATATTAAAATCTTGAATGATTTAAATTTCAATTAGATAAAGATATTACATCACTTTTATGAGCTCATATTATAAACAGCAACAAGATAGAATAACAACTTTCCACATCTTTCTTATGATAATTTCTTTTTAAATATAAGTGTATACTTTTCAAGTGGCAATTTTTTCAAATATTATAGTGGTTGAACTATTATTATGGATAAGAAGAATAAAGAAATATCTTTTATAAGTTACTAAATAATATTACATTTTACTATTATTATCTTTATTATCATTTTGCTAATCTAGAGAGCAATAATAATATTTCACATCTTTCAAAAGTTTTTCTTGATGAGTCATATTGTTATTTGTATCACATATCACTGAAAATATAGATATCTTACAAGAATATCATTTTAATATAAGAATATGATCCATTATTAATAATTTTTAGTACAATTATCATTTTTCAAAATGATAGTAGTAATAAGATATATGGTAAGCTTGTACCAAATTCTATTTATCTTTAAAATTCTATAATTAAATCTTCTGGAACTTGAGAATAAAAATAACATAATATTGAAGAATGGAATAATATTCCAGATATTATTAAAGATGCTAATATTATTCCTAACCAAGTGAACTATTATGAAAACTTCAATATTAATATTTTTGAAAATCTTTTTATAATACTTTATAAGATAATTAATAAAATATATGACTAAATACATATTCATATAGATGGTACATGTTATTATAAGTGAAGAATTAAAAATATCTCAAACTCAAGTATCAAAAAAAATAAAATAGCTAACTAGTTAATAACTTACAAAATTTTTTTCTGATAGACTATGCAAATCTAAGTTTCTAGAACTTATACAGAAAAATAAAGAAAAAGTTCTATTTGCTTGTGTTAAGATTGCAAAATAATATGATCATGAAATTTTTTTTACGTTTTCTTATCATTATGAGCTTTAGTTAATTAAGAGTATTTGGATAGTAATAAAAGATGAGATAGCAAAATCAGATTCACATTTAAATCTCTTAGATATTAGAAACAAGTTTTTAAAGAAAAAATAATATCAAAAATAATAATAGAATTATGGAAAAGAGTGCTTACAAGAGCCAAAAAATATAAAGAATCAGATAATAATGTAATTTTATTAAATGAAGAAATAGATGATAATAAATTTTAATAAAATTTTTATAGTATAATAAATCTGAATACCTATTTGTTTTTTATTTTTTTTTAAAAAAAATTTATATGTAGAAACTGATTTTATTAAGATTATTATGAGATATGGATATTTTTATATCAAACCATATAATAAATAAAAAATTAGCATAATATAACTTTGAATTTTTAAATAAAAGATTATATGTAATTTAAAATAAAAATAAAATATATAATAAATCTATTTTAATATAATATATTAATAAGAATATTAAATTAGATCTGAAGCTAAGTCAATTTCTGATAAGAAAGTTACTATAATTATAAAATTCATTTTTGAAGAAATAATTTATAGATATGGATGTCCTAAAGAAATTCAATTAGATAATAAATTAGAATTTATTAACAAAATAGTTATAGAAAAAAAAATTTTTTTTAAGATAAATATAAATTTGAGATCTTTTTTAATAAAAATATTATATTATTTATAAATCTTATATATTTTTCATAAGAATAAATTAAATATTATACTTAATTATATTATTATTTAATAGATTTTGAAAATATAAAAATTTTTAATATTATTATAAATATTAAGCTCTTGATATTACTTTATTATTAGAATTAATTATTAAAGATAAGAATGAATATTTTATTAATTGATATATACTTTTAGTATTTTTATAAGCTAAAAATTTTATTATATATTTATTTCTATTCATTCATTTTGATTAAAATATATTAATATTTGTATTATAATAAATATAATAAATATTATTCTAATTTAAAATTTATTGAAAAATATAAGTATAATTAATATCAAGCTAAATATGATTAATTATAAAAAAAAATTTATATTAATAATAAAAGTTTTAGTAATTATTTTAGTAAAAAGTTATAGGACTAAAAATATCAAATATAATTATAACTAATAAGAAGAGACAAATTCAAATATATAATAAATACAATTAAATATTAAATAGAAAGAATAAGAGAGAAAGAATAAGAAAGAAAAAGAATAAGAAAGAAAAAGGTAAGAAAGAAAGAATAAGAGAAAGGAATAAGAAAGAGAAAAACTAATTAAATTTTTTTAGAAAGAAAATAATAATATATAAGAATAAAATTATATATAGATTATATAATACGTAATAATCTGCTAATACTATATAATTATGATATAAATCAGGTGATAAATAGTATATCACTTATTAGATAATTATATTATCATATATTTTATATTTTATTGATTATTATATTTATTATATATATTATAAATTATTAATTAATATTAATTATAATTTAATTAATTTTATATTATATAATTAAATATATTTATTTTTTAATTTATATATTTAAATATATATTTATATTTTAATTTATAAATTTATATATTTATTTTTTAGGATATAAAATATATAAAATTATATTTCTAAGATATTTTAATATTTTTATAATATATAATTTTATGTTTAAAAAGAATTTTTATCTTATAAATAAAGAGTAATTTAATTTAATATTCAGATTAAATAGTTTAATTTAAAAATAACTTCTTAATTATTATAATATTATAATAAATAAGTATTATTAAATTATAATTAATTAAAATTTTAGCAATTTTAAGTTATAATATTATAATAAATAGAGTATTATCATATTGCAATAGTTATAATATTTATTATTAATTTAATTTAAGATTTAATTTAATTTAGATTTAATTTATAATTTTATCTTATATTATATATTTTATATAATTTATTATAAAATATTAAGATTTAAAAGTAATAATAGTAAAAAAATATAATAATAAAGAATTATTATTAATAAATTTATCTAAATCCTATTTATTTTTAAGAATTATCTTTATAATTCAATATTACTTAATATAAAAATTTTGTATTCAAAAATTTTTTATTATATTATAAGTAATATTTAAAGAACTAATAATAATTATATTTATTTATAATTTAATATATATATTACTTTCAATTATAAATTATATTATATTATATATTTATGAGAAAATTTATTATTTTATAAATAAAAATAAAATTTATAATTAATATATTATAATATATTAAAAATTTTAAAAAATTTTACAACTAATTATAATTAATTATAAGTTATAATTATTATAACTAACTATAATTAATCATAATTAATCATAATTATCATAATTAATTATAATTATTATAATTAGTTATAATTATTATAATAAATTATATTTATTAAAATAACTATAAAAGTTTTTAATTATTAAATAAATAATATTTTAATATCTAGTAATTAAAATTATATAAAATATTACTTTTTAATTCATCAGATCTAAATGAATTAAATAATAGTATTTTCATAATATTCTAATTACTAAATATTAAATTATTATCAAAAGTTATATAAAAATATTACTATTTGATTCATCAAATCTAGATAAATTAAATAATAATATTTTTATAAATATTAAAGAAAATATTTAAGTTTAAAATAAATTAACTTATCTAAATATTATATAATATAGTAATTAAAATCTAATAATCTTAATATCATTAAATTTTCTAGATTTTTGTGATTTTAATGTGATATTTAAAATTAAAGTTATTTATTTAAAATTATTTAATAATATAATATCTAAAATTATTACTATTTGAATTTCACACAAGAAATAGTCTGATGTGAATAATGATATGTTAGTTTCAATACTGCTCAAGCATGGTTACATTATCATTTCTAAGATATTTTGCTGTTCTCAATATAAAACAAAGCTTGATAGAGATATTAATGATGCTTGCAAAATTCTTCTTCAATATCTTACAAAAAAAGGAGTCAGCTTAGGCTGACGCGGAACCTATTTCTTTACAGAACTTTTTATTATCTAATTTAGACTTTGCTTAATGTGGAGTTTTATTAGCGATAGTGAATTGTTGTTGATCAATATATAATGATCACGGGCTGACCAAAAAGTTCTAATTTAAATTTAAATACACAACAAAATTCCGTTTTCAGTAAAATATTGCAGTCGAGAAAAAAACATTTCTATTTATTAGCGTTTAATTTTGATAGATTTAAAACATGTCGACGTTGGAAGAATATCTAAACAAAAAATATGGTACATTACCTGGTGGAAGAGTTTCAGCAACCACCGAAGCCACAAAAAAAAAAAAAAAGAAACGTAAAATAGAGGGTGTGACTTCCGTTCCGACTGAAGGAAAAGGTTATGCAATCATTGATGAAGAAGAAATCACTAGTCAATGGAAAAAGGTTGCCTCCGCTGACGAAGATGAACTAAAGGGTGTGTAGTTTGGAGGAAATCCATAAATATTATACTGCATTCATTAATTGATACTTTTAATTCCAGAGTTGGCTGCTATAGCTGAAACAGAATCAAATGCAAGCAAATGGAAAAAGATTACAGATTATGAGGATGAAGACGAAGTCCCGCAGATTGGTAAACATTTTTATGACTTATTAATCTCTACGAGAAATTTCATTCGCGACGAAACGATTAAATTTTGACTATTCAATGAAAATAGCACAAATCATTGACGAGACAGCGTCATCAATAAATTCAGAATCAACAAAACGAACTAAAATAAAACGAAGTAGATCGCCTTCATCATCACCTGCCGGGAAAATATCCTCCTCTTCTACTATGATGTCAACTGGACTGCAGTCTGCGGAAAAGGTACGTAAAGAGCACGAATTACGACAAAAAGAAATTAAAGCGGAACTTGAGAGAATGGATCCAGAGTTATCGGGTCGGAATGCTCAAACGGTATATCGTGATAAAACGGGTATGCATTTATACATGGTTTCTTTTGTCCATATATCTGTTACCATTATACTAATCAATAGTCGGATAATTTTGTATTGCCTAGGAAGAAAAATTGATATAGCTGCTCAACGTGCTGAGGAGCGTAAAAGAATCGAGGAAGAAGAGAAATTAATGAAATGGGGTAAAGAAGAAGAAAGGCGAAAAGAAGAAGAATTGCGTAATAAACCCTTAGCCATGTATGTTCAATTAATGTAATAAAAATTAATCATATATTAATTAAATATTGCATGAATATATTTGAATTATAGATATAAAGATGACAGAGATCTGAATGAAGAACTGAAAGCAAAGGAACGTTGGAATGATCCTGCTGCGCTCTTCTTATCAAAAGTAAGAATTCATCGTTTTAGCCGTTTTCATCATGGAAACTTGAATTGATAATAAAAATTTTCCAGAAAAAGAAAACTGGCCAACTTAAACGACCGAAATATGAAGGACCACCGCCGCCACCTAATAGATTTAATATTCAGCCAGGATATCGATGGGATGGAATAGGCAAGAAAATTTACTACCTTTTCTCTTCATAGGAATATCATCATTCATGTATTGAAGTATCCGAATAATTATTTTTTTAAATAGATCGATCCAACGGATTTGAAAGACAATATTTTGAAAGACAATACAATAGAGCTGCTTTAGAGAAAGAAGCATACAGTTGGTCAGTTGAAGATATGTAATTAATTGCCCCAATAAAACTGACGGTTGCTCGAGTGTTAAGGTGAATTATCCAAATTTGGAACCATAATTTGAGATGCTACGAAAGGTATGAATCACATGCGGCGTGATTTTACATATTAATTGTATCATCTTTTTAGAGAATCATGAGTGTGTTATGTATATCAACATATCAGAAAGCTATTCATTTCTTTTTCAGGTATGTCATCTGATTGCATTAAACTAATTAATTGTACGTTCAACAGTAAAAGATATAGCTCTTGTATCTATTTATAGTTACGATATACATGTATATATTTGGCATCGGTATTTTCATCACTTTAATAAAATTGTTCTTTTTTGATGAAACCCACGCCTTAAATAATTTGGATTACAATAAATAGAGTATATTAAGTTAAATGGTTTAATTCAAGTATTGTCTCGAATTCATAATTTTATAATTTAGCAACATCATTGCCGTTTCTCGTGACTCCCAGTTCCAACAATTTTCCGAAAGCAGATGCAAAATCATTAAAGAAGGCTTTTTTATCTTGTGCATATATATTCACAATCTCTCGGAATTTTGGATCAATAATTAAAGCCATATCCGCCGGTAACATCATTAATTCATCATCCTCATCTCTGAATTGTATGTTACCATTGACATCTTTAATCGACCAAGTTTTATTTTTCAAAAGAATGAAACTATTATTGGTAATAATTAATTAATTAATTAATTAATTAGCTATAAATATTAACACAAATAGATATATATGTATGATATTGTGGCGGGAAATACATTATTAGTAATCCGCCACAATACCCACCTCCACCCCTTTACCTTATGTAATACATACAATTGATTTGAAAATCGTGTGGGTGTATAAGTCCATGGACCATCATAACCTGATCGATCTTTGTGACATCGACCGATTGTATGAGCACCCATTAATGCAACAATTTCGCTGAGAAAATGCCAAAATAATATTTTTTTTTATTAAAGTATTGTTTTTTTTTAAGTAAGATTAACCGGAAAAAGCAATAAACTTACCGATCAGTGAAACCCATTCGATAGAACACATCACGAATATGTTGTTGCGTATGGGCAGCATCAGGTAAACGACCATTCGGTGGACAATCACTCTCTTGAGTCTTATCTGTTCGACCTGGTTTCCATGGAACAACTGGTCCTCCCATTTCTTCAATAGCAACAACTCCAGCTAATGTCCATAAATCAGCATCTAATTGGTTATTTCATGCAAACGAAGTTATTTACTTGGCGTGACGATAATGAAAAAGAAAAAAGAAATATTCTCTGTAGTTTATTTTATCTCTAGTGCGTACAAGATATCCACGGAAACTTATGTTTTATAGGTTCGAGAAACTTTCTAGCGTATTCTAAACCGGCATTTGCAGGGTCGCTCGCTTCCATGGCGAATCTCATTGTTGCACCATTAGAACCTCCAGTATTGGTATGCATATCGTAAGTGCCAGCGGCATGCCATGCGAGTCTTACAAGTACTGGACCAGTTGAGCCGTCGTCATAACCAGGCTGTGGTAGTATTTGTTTAATGGAATCTCGAACTGCGTTGTAATCTTTTTGGTGGTTAGACATTATTTAATTTTATTTACTTATTTAAATATGTAAGATGATAATTATTCAATGTTAATTACAAGAGCAGATCTTTATATATAAAAATAGTGAACAATGAATGTGCCGAAAGGAGTCTAGTCCTGGTAGCAAATTAAAGTCTGTGATACACCTTAATGCTGGCAAGCTTTATCGATCTTGATGTCGGCTGGAATTAAATTATTTTCCTCTTTCTTGAATATCCACTCGTTCGCTCCCAATAATACTCTAGAAAATCACATTTATCCTGTACACCTAAATTAGTTTTACGTAATCTACTCATTTGTCCAACTAAGTTTATAATCTGATAGCCTGTTTGGTCTTCATGAGTTAATGTTGCCGCTCTTGCAGCTGAATATGGCGTTAATGTGGCGGTGGATGTGATAGTAAAAGATGATGAAGATGGCGATTCATCGGCTGCTAGGAATTTTACGTTCATTTGATTTTTAAACTAATACCTAGAGATTGTTAATATCAACCAAGAAAACGTTTTTACACTTCCACTAGTAGTATGATTAAATCACCTCACTGCAAAGTCTTAGAAAATGCCAAAATTTATTTCCTGCTGTATAAGTTGGCGAGAAATTTTCATATTCATATCTGTCATCAATTATTCATAAATAAATCATGAATAACAAGTAAATTAATTAAAAAAAAAGATTGGTATAAAATAGTACGAGTTCTTACTTTACGTTCAGAATCAATATCTGAAAATCTTCAACGGGCAATGATAAATCCCTGAACACTGGATTAAATTTCAATAGTGCACGACCATTTGATGTTGTGGCCTGCGAATTTATTAGTCAATTGATGCATAAGGATAAAATGATTTGGTTATACGATTATAAAAATTTACCTCGGGAAAAACAACAATAGGTCCCATATCATTGGATTTTGCCAACTTTGATAATTCTGTTATGCTATATGTTTTAACTCCTGATGGCGGATTTAACTCTGGATATTGACCGGTTATCTTAATGGCAGTCCATAGCGAAATAGGACGCAGTGTATTAGTCGATACATAGAACTCTGTGAAAACGGGATCATACCTTAAGAATATCATTGAAAGAGAGTCAGAGTTATTTTAGAGTAATCTGTTTACTGATTTTTGCAATCATGATCAACCTGAACGCTAGGTAAATCAGTTCAACATAGGATGTCCAATTTGACACGATCACGTCACCCGATTTTAAACGCGTCGAGTCAAAAGCGCCGCGACTTTTTAATGTATTTACTCTCCTGTGAAGAAAGGTAAAGAAACATCAGCACCAACTTAGTTTTTGTAAAAGTCAAATTGGCCAAGTGCTTACCCGCGACGTAAAGAAACGCGTTCGGTACGAATCCAATAAAATCCCATAAAGAAGAGTGCGATTCGCGCCAAAAGACAAGTAAATAGATAATGATAAACTCTATATACCATTTTCACTTTTATCTTTCATGTAAAAAAGAATTTTAATAATGCGAATGAAATTAACGACAACAAAGGTAACCCACTAAAAGTAGCCCCAAGACATCGACAATTAGAAAGAGTAAGAGCGCTGCAAGTATGACCAGTAAAAATTTGGCGAGCCCGAGAACAGGTTTTATTAAAAAGGATAATATTTTCCCAATTGCTTCAAAGAGATTTGATTCTTGTCTTGAAGGCTTTAACAGTTAAAAATAAAGTATTGGAAAAATGTACAAGGTTGAAAAAATGAACATGAACTCAGCGGAGGAAGCATAATTATTACCACGGGTGGCAAAAAAGGTTGAATGCCAGTACCACTATCCTGAATTGAAAATTCATGAAATTTCGAGGAATGCTTAATAGAATATCTCAAGGGACAATAGTTTCAGACACATACTCTCCAACGCGAATATTTTTCCATTGCTGCAAAGTTAAAAGTGCGATTTTTCAAATTCGCGATTTTTTCATTCTGATTGGCATATCATTCCAATATTACACAAAGTTTCATTTGAAAAAAAATATACCACACGATATGCCATCTTTTGTAAATTCAACGCCGCTTATCACGCTCGCAAAAAAAAGAATAACTCCTCAAAAATTAGCAGCTGTGCAAAAAAAATGGGATCCTTCCTTTTTTGTGCCTACTTGTAAAATTGATCCGGAGACTGGTGCCAAACACTGGCGAAAGCCGAGAATTAGTAAACGCTTGCAAGCTGATATGAGGAAAAATTGTATTTATCTTGGTATTGACCCATTGAGTATTGGTTTGCCCGAGAAACCTGATAGGAATCCACCTAGAACTAAGCCACCAAAGGGGAATAAGGCTGATAGGTTGAAGCCAATTAGGTCAGTTTTATTGATAAGCATATATTTTTTTCTTCAATTCTTTAATAAATGATGATGAATAATAATAAAACGAAAATTAATCATATATATAGACAAGCGAAAATTCAAAAAGCGATGGAAGATATGCCAAAGACTATCGAAAAATGGAAAACAGTATGTTAATTTTTTTTTTATTAAACATTATTATATACACGTATCGGTATTTAATTTATTTTGATTAATGCACACAACGTAAATTAGGAAAAACGTACCGAAAAGCAAAAGAGCAAACCATCATTACCATATTAATCTTATATAGATGTATCAAAAAAAAAATACAAGTAGGCATTATCGTTATGTTAATATCATACTCATATGAGTTTCAATTGATTGACGATATTTCACCTTAAAAGAGTATTACACAGCATTCTCAATGTTTATTATTTTCAAAGTATCTGATGATTGAAGAATAATATGGGACACACAAAAGGATTAAATACACAGGTAGTGAATACTCATCAATAGTAAAAATACAAAATCTATAATATTGTTGTTATTATTATTATTATTATTATTAGTTATTATGCAAATGCTTATTTGTGGAATGTATTTTTGCACAAAGTGGGAAACTTGAATAAACGATTTATTGATCAGAAAAAATGATAACAATAATAAAGTAAATAATACTCTGATCATCCTATTTCTTCGTCATCCCAAGCCCATCCGGGACTTCGATTTGGGGGGTTGGATTTTTCGAGTTGACGCGATTCATAATCCGTGTTATTGAGATGAGATGATAAAAAGTTTGTGGTGTTCCCATTTGAAGAGAATAAAGAAGAATTAGTATTTCCTTTCCTTGTACTTGCCAAAGAAAAGTTTGACGTTGATTTGCAGTCTATTGAAGGAGCAATTTCCAATGGAGGCTTGGTCGTTGCATTATTACCAGCTTCATCGTCTTCAATTTCACCATCCTCCGTTGACGATAACGATGCCTCGGCGCCAACGCAATTACCATTTGGATTATTATCTTCTTTTGGAGCGATTGAATTACTTTCATCGGTAACTTTATCCTCTTCAATTTTGACCTCCTTATCAGCCTCCCCCTCATCATCATTAATAACTTCCAGATTATTATTGGTGTTAACGTGACAATTCCTATTCATTAATACTAGTTCGGGTTCGGAAATTTCTTCATTTTTCTTTCTTTGCACGGTTAAATCCATGATAATGTCCTTTGTGTTAATGGAGGCAATCTCTTGACTTTCATTTATTAATTTTTCTTCTTTTATTCGTTCTCCTTCACAACATGAACCCCCTCCATCTCCTTCTGATAACGGTGTTATCGTATCCTGTTTTGGAATATGATCCCATGGTATCACTGAGGCTTTTCTTGACCTTTGCCCATTATTCAGTGTGAGTTCCAATCTCTTAACTAATACATCATCACCCTCAGGATTACCAAGTCCTTCTAGAATATCCAATAACATTTCATACTCTCTACAGGATTTTTCATATAGATCAATCTTTTCTTGGGTGTGCGTCTTCAGATGATAAGTGATCGCATTTAAAGCAAGATTTATACGTTGTTCAGAAGGTGTGTCTAATATTGTGCTGTCTTTGTTATTATCATAATTATTATTAGTATTATTGTTGTTATTATTATTATTATTATTATTATTATTATTATTTTTATTATTATTGTTATTATTATAATTATTAACGTGATCTTCAGTGGAATTAGAATTTTCGGTAGGAGTGAAAAACGATGCTGTAAGCATAGGGAAAAATGACTCGTCGAAGTCTGTAGAATGATGAAGGCTGTCCGATTTGAATATGGATAATATGATAACGTTAATGAAGCTTTTTACAATCAAGAAAAATCAATCGAGATCTTTTCTTATATCTTGCCTATTTATATCGAAACATTCATGCAAATACTCTGATCCTTGACCGGGAATAATATTAAATGGTATTGGTATTACATCATCCACAGATTCCATTATCGTCTTAGTCTATGATACAACAGAAATCAAGATAAGTAATAAATCGATAATTTCTTCAAACAGCAAAAATTATGCCTTAAAGCATGATTTATTTGTTTACTTACTCACATACTTATTAGTTAATTATTAGCCTTACCTTCTTTTTAGTGCTTCTTCCACCACTGGTTGATCCTTCAACATCTTTTCTTTTCTTTCCGATACCATTTTGCGAATCAGATTTATTATATCTCGTCCGTAGATTTCTTGAATCAGCAATATCATTAGTGCTAGCTCTCCTGTACCTCGGCTTATTTAAGATTTCGGAAGTAGTAGCCTGGTCATATCGCCACACGGAATTTAAATCTCCCAGTTGGTGAACACTTTCTTCATCAAACACATTCGATTTCTTTTTTTGTTTATTGGAATTATTGTCACCAGTAGTGGTGCTACTTACCGCTGCCGCAAGTAAAGAAAGCCCGTCGATTACGGGCGTAGTATTTTCCGTGACAATTTCGTGGTTTATTATCGAGATATCTCCTTTTATCTCATCTGTCAGAGTTTGAAATCTATTCAATACTTGATTCAATGTCGGTGTAGAGACAAATGCTTGTGCTATCGTACAAAAATTGTCATTTGACGATGGCAGAGATGTTGACGACGATGATGGTAAAGGATTGACAGAATTAATATTGGCCGACACGGTAGGCCCACCGATGACTATTCCAATTAGGTCTTGAAAGATTGCACATGATTCTTCCACAATTAACGGGGCAATTTCTTTCATTTCCTTCATTCCATTTCCTATTTAAGAACGAATAAGGAGGGCAAATTATTTTATTGTAACAATGGGGTGGCGTAACCTGGTAATTATTTATCGGAAGAAATTCTTACCTGGATGTTGCCTTGCGTAATTCGCGGCAATTACTTTAAGCATGGCTTTTTGCACCGAACTAAAATAGGCCGAGGCTATGCTCGCGGGATCACAATATAGAAAGACATCCGCAGCAGGTGACTAAATGCAAGACAAGAGCTGTCTTCAATGGTGGTGAATGCTCTTGATGGAAACGACGACAAAGTAAAGAAAGTGTAACGCGCATAACTTACTGCGAACCAGCCTAGCACTGTTTGACCATTCCAATTCATATACTTGGCGATCGTGCTGACCAAGTCACTTGAACTAGATATATATGGGATAAACCCCTAAGAAGCGATCGCTTAAAATGAGTATTTTTAATCTTGATCTGGAGCAATTCTAGCCACTAGTGTTATTTCTCAAAAGAAAATACCTTGACTTGTATAACCAAACCGCGATCTAGACCTTCTTCGCGTACCCCGAATAGAATACCTTGCGATGGTGTGTCATCGCTGATCGTAGTTGGTTTTAGCCTGACAAACACATCTAAGCAGAGTTGTTGGTGTGTGAGATGATTTGGTCTGTTTACCGTTAAGGAAAAGTTTTACAAAAAATATATACGCAATAGATTCTAATAAGAAAAGAGAGATTTAAAACCAAAAGATTACCTTTTGGAAATAGAATTGTAGGCATTGCTCGAGTTCCCTCTGTATGTGTGTGTGTTATGTATGTGCGTAATAGCAACAGCTCATTAAAAAACCGTGATTCGATCAATTGTTTTGCCACATTTTTTTGGATACAATAAGTAGGTTCGGGTAGAAACGGAATAAATTCAATTTTTCGTAAGTATGGCACCATGGTCTAGTCGTGTGATTCTCGCTGTCGATGTCAGAGGTCATTGGTTCAATTCCCGATAAAAGCTTCAGTAGATTACTTTGTATTCATTAAATTTGTTATCTCAGATACGCGTTTCATCTGAAATCTTGTAATAAATTTGCTTTTTAAGTTATCGCGTTTCTTCCTTTGTTTAACCTTCCCCTTTGAATCAAAGTTTCCATGTCATCGCTACCAAAATTGCGCTCGCGTCAAAAAAATCAAGAGCAACAGACCGCGGTGGAACCAACAACAGACCCCCAAAATGCAGCAATCCCACAAAAGAATCCACAGTCCACGCAAAAGGCCCAACCTTTGCGTCGGCAGCGAATCGTGCGTCAACCAAGCCTCTGGGAAAGAATCTTTAGTGCACCTTTAGATTATCTAATAATGATAATAAACGACTATGATTCATTTGACTGGGATGCGTGGAGCCCTTTCTTGAGGCATGTTCTCATTTAATCGCACACGAAATTATCTTAATTTAATTAAACGAAAATATTTATAATTTAAGTCTTTATTTATTATGTATACATACAGTCTCTTGACAGCTATCGCGTTAAACTGCATGCTGATTATTGTGAAAATTTGTTATCGATTTGATCGACCTGAATTTTCTTCAGAATATAAGAGATTAATGGATAAATCCTCTTACGCGTTAAAAGTGTGTGACTGTATTTTATTGGAATAATCTATCATTGAGAAGCTGAAACTAAAGAATCATTTTTTTATTAATGTAACAATTTTAGTTGGAATTAGCTGAATATGGGTTTTTGATGACAAGCATAATCAATTTCATCTATCTTGCAGTACAAACTAAAAAGTATCAGATGTTTTGCTATCGGAAGCTGGTAAAAAGTTGTTAATTAAATTTAGCTGTGCTTATCCTTGTTGAATATTAAACATTTTTCATAATATAACTTGTTGAATTTTAAAAAAAGGAACAACCGGCGACTTCAAATGCACATTTGGTCAATTTCAATAAAGATACGCCTTCTTGGGCAGATTCATATTGTGGCAGAATATTGTGAGTATCCTAAAATATTATTTATTTTAACAATATTCATACTAATTAACTAATATTGTTATAATTAGATATCCCATTTGTAGTTATTTCTTTAAATCGGATACTTCTCTTAACCGGAGACAAATATGGGAATTAAATATGTGGAATCCATCAAGTTTCTCACTACATTTATTTTGGTAAGTTGATAGAGAATAGAATTTGATTGTATCCCTATTTATTGAACTTTTTGAAAAATTTTTTTTACAGCTACTTTTCTCCTCCTCAAGTAATGGTCTTGATGGGTCTTAATTCCGAAAATTGGCAATATTATTTGCCGATTGCTGCATTCATTGCATTACAGGTAAAACATGTGACTTAAATGTTATACAGAATCTATTTTTTTCTGAATGTAAAACGGCAAACTCTAATCTCTAAAAATTGCATTCAGGTGTACGTTCTAGTGAAAATCTATACAACTCATATCAAAGATAAGCAAGTTCTATTTAGTGAAGTAACTTATGAATATGACAATAAATTTGTTTATCCAACCATCTTCAAGAAAAAGAATGATGTGGCAACACAAACGGATCCACTCATAGAATGGGATATAGTTCAATAACGATTCTAGCCAGCCCATGATAATTAATATATATATATATATTTTTTATACAAAAGATTAGCATATTATTATTAACGTTAAAGAAATTACAGATTCTATCCTGAAGAAATTATTCTCCATTATATTTTATCGGGTGAATAATTTATCTGTTATCCGAGAATGGCATTATTATGTATTGTGTACCATCGTGGTTGTGAAAATAACTTGAGCAATTAACACAATCTCAGAATGAATTTTATGTAAAAGAAAATGATTTTTATCTAAGAAATTGTATTTATCACCACAATGCGAATAATAATGATGCTATTTCGTATTATAAAAATTGCGTGTATGCAAAAAAAAGAAACGTAAAGATAAAATAAGAAAGCCCAGCACCCGTTTTTTCTATGTTTATATATATGTAATAGTAAGAATAAAAAATGAAAATACCAAAAATACACAAATAAAAAAGTTAACTAGGCAACAAAATTACATTAAAAGAATGAAAGGGATACGGACGGCTCCATTACTTAAAATTTAATATTAGAAAAATAAAGTATAAGCGAATGATATCCCACCAACTATTATTACTAATAAACGAAAAGAAGGTTTCGTCCATCATTCTATTATCATCATCATCGTCACTATTAATTATTATTATGATTATTAATTATTATTATTATTGTTGTTTGTTGTTGTATTAATTATTCTGTGCTTCCAGCGAATAATAAATTAATTAATTAATTAATATAATTGGCATGTCGTCACCTAATAAAACATTTTGCGTCTGACACTCGTATTTTGTTGCTTATAAGAGAAATAAATTTATTGTTCTTGCTCTTCTATTTTCATATTACCGTTATTCGTTGAAGACTCTTCAAGAGAATCGATAACTAACGGAGGGGATGATTGTGCTTGCGAATCACTTCCGTTTGATGTTTGTAGCGGCTGTTGTTCTTGCTGTAAAGATTGCTGCTGTGGATGTTGTGACGATAATGGTTGTTGGAAAAATGCAAGCATTTGGGGATTATTTATCGAAGAAGGAGTTGGTGGCCCGGTATTCAATATTGGTGGAGGAATAGCTCCGCCGGAGGCAAGCATATAAGGATAAGCGTTTGGATTAAACATTGCAGCCGGATGACCATACATGCCAGCCGCAACTGCCGCCAAGGCGGTAGGATGAATGAATGTTGGAAAGTGACTCATGTGTGGATATGGTGATGCTTGTGAAAATGGTGAGTGAGGATGAGACATTGGTATATTATTCATGAACATTGGCGTTGGCGGTGGATAATTTCCAGTTGGAGTGGAATTTGAAATTTGAGCAGATGAGGTTGTAGTCGATGCATTTTCATTAGAAGGGGAAAGAATAGCCGTGGGTGAAAGTTGATCAAGCGGTGATGAATTAGCATTCTCTGATGGAGGAGTTGTGACCGATGTCTGCTGCTGCTGTTGCTGTTGTTGCATATGTTGGTTTGCGTATGCTGCTTGAGCTGCAGCATAATAAGCGGCGGCGGCGGCGGCGAAATCAGTGGGCACAGGACCTGGATAAAGTCCTTGTGGCGGAATTCCTAACGGTGGCGAAAGTGCACCTAAATGAACTCCGTTAATAGATGGATCCCCAATCATTCCTAATTCTTCCAATAAACGTTTATATCCTTGAACTTGCTGAACTTTTAATTTCCCTAACACTATTCTCACTTTCTCCACTAATCTTTGTTTCTCTAATGGATCAATATAAGGACTACCCAATACTTTTTGTACCACACCAACTCCATGAACTTGGTCATTTAAGACATCTTCTAAAACTTGGTCGTTAGCTGAAAAGAACAGAGATGATATTGTAATATCGCGTGCATCTGGTTCTTGTCGTTGATTGATAATTTTAAGAACGGTAAGTGACGCGAGTTTATGTGTGCACAAATGTCCTAAATGATTTGCAAGTTTTGGTGCCAAAATACGATATCGACCAGGGAAAGATGATGTGTCGAGAAGCCACGTCAATAAAAGAGCTCCATTAGGATTTGTCGATAGAGGAACAGCATTCATCACAATAGCAATAGCAACTTGTTTCTACGTAGTAAATATCCATTAGCTTTACAAAGAACAAAGAGTATAGAGAAAAAGAAAACAAATTCATTTTATTACCTGTTGTTTTTTGCTGACGTATTGAGACTCTAAGCAAGCCCTCATTGCACGTGCTCCAAAACGTCCTTGTGCAACTTCTAAACATCTGTCTACCATAGCATCAAAGATAAACTGATTTCTTTGAGTTCCCAATCGGAGGCAACATTGAACCACATAATTTCCAAATTGGTCAAGTAATAACGGAGGAGTATATGGCTTGACTTTTGCCGTGATAATGTTCATCTATTTATAATTCAATAATGTAAACAACAGCTCTTACTTTTATAAATATCAAAAAAAAAAAAAGAGGAGACTAACCTGTGCTGGTGTCTTTACACAATCAATGATTTTCTGTGCTGCCCAAGTTCCATTTTTATGAATACCAATAGTGGCCATGTGAGGCGCGATTTTCTCAAGCATCTTCATTTTTGTACTATCAGAACATCTTTCAAACAATTTTTGAATTACGGTATTTCCAATGTAATCTTTTTATTGAAAGGATATAAAAATTAATTCTTGCACGTCAAAATCTAAAAGAATTAACTAACTCATAATTAAAAATAATAACAATGAGAGAAAAGAATTTACCACTCGATAATTCTACACATTCTTCAAGAACTTCGGAGGCGAGGGCTTCCACTTCTTTAGCTAAACAATGTCCACTATCAAGACGCTTTCTAATTTCTCTTAGCCGAGATGCATCAGGTTTACGATTAGGGTTGGGATCACGAACAGGTGGAATAGAGGTGAAATAATTGGTGGGTGGACGATTATCTTAAAAAATATGAAACAAATATCTTTGGTTAGACGATTCAATATTCATTTCTGTATATATGCATGAAATATTTACTAACCATTTACATCATCTATATCATCATCGAGGCCACCGCTTAATTCACGCATCATCAACTGTTTTTCTGTCAAACCGCTCGAAGCATTGGCCATTAACATCATCATCATGTTGCTATGGTAATTTTCAACTTGACCATTCCATTGCCCATGTGTTTGATTTTGAAGGTGAGCGTCGTCGTTGTTTTCGTCGTTGTTATTGTCCTCGTTGTCGTTGTTGATGTCATTGTTGTTACCGATAATGCTACTATTGCCGTTACTACTACTACTATTATTATTATTATTATTATTATTATTATTATTATTACTACTACTACTATTATTATTTGTAGTACTGCTGCTGCTGTTTACTGTAGCATTATTGCCATCGTTATTATTGGATGATGATGAGGATTGATTACGCTCATGAAGAGTGGTGGGAGATCCAGGTTCAGGAGTTGATGAAGGCGAAGGTTTTGGTTGCACCTTTGCGTAACCGATTTTCACGGGCCCAACTGCACTTCCAAGAACTTCTTTTCCGTGCAATGATTTCTTTGCTTTGATAGCATCATCTAATTTCTCAAAATTAACAAATCCGCAATTCTTGTGTGTAAGAACACGTGCAGATTCAATGGTTCCATATGGAGAAAAAATATTCTGAAGCGCCTGCGGTGTTGTCGATGTGGGTATATTCCCAACCCAGAGGGCCCTAGTCGGCTGTGATTGAGTTTGAGAAGAGAGAGAGATATCGTGGGAATTTAATGCATCGGATTTTCCGTATCCTACACGAACAATGCAGTTTCCAACTCTTCCCCCCATTCGATTCATTATGTCATCTTTAGCACGAACGGCGTCTTCCACTCGAGCGAAATTCACGAAGCCGCATTCTTTATCCGGTAACAGACGTAGACTTTCGATAATTCCGAATGGAGAAAACAATTGCATGAGATCTTGTGTAGTGAGAGAGGGATCGATATTTCCAATCCACAAAGATCTGGTTGGAGTTTGAGGCGGGGGAGTACTCTGTTGTTTTGAACAGGTGTAAGGGGACGAGGGGTTGATACACCAGAGCGTACAAGCTGAGCACCATTTTTTCAAGGTTTAGAACACGAGAAAATATTGCCATATAGTTGCCAAATATTGGCTTTTCAGGCATAAGATAAATACCTCGAGATCACCATGATCCATTAGATATTCCTCTTCAACATGAATCTGCTGTTGTTGCTTTTTCTTGCCTTCCATCATTCCACTCACCATCATACCTAATAATTGTTCTCCGCCTAATGACCGAGGAACTCCACCTCCATTATTGATCGATTGCTGTGTTTCAGGCATTTCGGTATAAATTTGTCCATTTCTTCCTCGTAGTACCATGACTTCATTTGGTAAATCCAAAATTCCTAGAGAAATAGCTCGAGGTCGTGAATGCGTTTGATGGAATTGTTGAACTGCGGCATTACCAGGAGGAAATAACGTATTGGCTGCTATTGATGCATTTGAAGTGGGTTGATCATCATATTTAGCAGTGGCTGAAACCGAATATGATCGAATACGGTTGGCATCACGACGAAGTGCCGGTATGGCTGATATGGTCGGTCCAGATTGAGAATATGATGGAGAATTCGACTGCTTCATTTCCACTTTGATCTGCGGGAGTTTGGAATTTCCCGCGTGTTTTGATAAAACTCCACTTCCCATTGACCCATGTTCATGATCATCAAGGCCTAAATAGTCCAAAGTTTTACTGACGGTATTGTTTTCATCGCCACGTAGTAGTTCACCCGTGGTGGGCGTGGGCATGGATGGTGTCGGAGGACCATTATTTTCATTACGGTGATCAGACCAACCAGTCGTAAATATTGATGGTCCAAAAGCAGCCGATAGAGAAGAAGAAGGTAATGTTAGTGAGCCGGATCGAAGACGCGAAGATGCTTTCGGTGGCGAGAGTAAATTTGATGGCGCTTGATTGGCTAATGATGATAAGGAGGATGTAGTGTGATGACCAATTGAGAATGGTGATCTACCACCCGATAAATTTGATGGTAAAGTATCGGCCCGTGCGCGACGGAAGGAATGAGGATATTGAGTAAGATGATCATTGTTGCTAGTGCCGTTGGAGTTTGACACTGATTTATTACTAACGGATTTAAGATATTCAATTGATGGTGCAGGGTTCGAATCAGATAACAGAGTTCCATTAGTAAAAGCGCCACTGGTTGAAAGCGAGGGCGGAGGAAGCGCCGCAGAACGATAAGGAGAGGTTATTCCTTCTTCAGCTTGAATTTCACGAGCTCTAGAATATGTACAAATATGCTATATTATTAATCGCATCAAAGAATGATTTTTGGATAAAGCATTAAGCTAAGGAAATCACGTTTTTTCTCATATCAACAAAACAAGAGAATAGAAAAGTTAAGTGTTCTTACAAGCGGAAACACAAAGGTTATTCCGCACGACTGCTCTTTTCCAAGTATGGATCGAAGTACTAACCTTTTTGAAGAGAAATATCTGGCTTCATGTTGTGGTGAGCCCCCAGTGCCATTTGTCGAATACGAGTCCTGACCCAGTTCTGTCTGTTGCGAATTCATTTTATTACAATATCTTTTTATAATTATAATATATATTTTTTAAGATTAAAGTGCATCAATTTTGCCCAGCAAAACGTGATGGAAGTGTAAAATGACCAAATATTTATTCAAGCCAATTAAATAAAAGTTTTCCATAAGCGAACCTCAGTTCGAAAGTTCAATAAATAATATTACAGAGCGCTTGTGTAACGATTTGGAATTAGCATTTAAGAATTAAAAAACACCCAACCACTCTATTATTATGAAAGTTAGGTTAGAAATGAGACGTATAGGGAAAAATAATTATATACGACAAGAGTTATTAGTATTATATAATAGATTGTAATTAGAATTAATTGAGAAATTATATTAAAGATTAAGTGAAGTTAAAGAAATAAGATGAAATATATTATTATAACCCTCCACCTCACACACTCGGAGGACCAAAGAGAAAAAACGGGATAACGTATGTGGTATGGTGAGGCAGAAAGATTGGACGTGCTAAAAACGGTCGCCAAGGAAAAATAGTGACACCTACCTAATGAGTTGATAATTGATTAGGATTTCAGGGTAATCAATATTAAATAAACCACGTGATAAATTTTATTTTGAGACATGGCATTTATACATAAAAAGCAGGGATAGCTTAGATAACCTCGTTTCTGTTTTAAATATTGAACATAGTAATATTCTCAAATACAAGGTTTTTCACGTTTCATCCCCCCTCCTCTCCTTGCGTTTGTTGATTGCTTGCACCTTCATTTTCAGAATTATATCAATTAACAAACCAACCGAAACAAACCACAAAGTAAAATATTGCTTGCAAAGGAATTTTAGATATAATATTACTTTAAATAGAGACCACACCGTTGTATGAAAGCAATATTTCCTTCAACTTTATATAACCTTAACGAAGAACTTGTTCAAGTACTTGAAGGAATTTTCATTAGTTGTCTAGTTGATCATTGCGTCCATTACTTTGATCTCCACGGATATTCGTTTATCGTTTTCTATGATGGATGAGTCGTCCTTGCCTTTCAAGCGAAACTTTATACAGCCAGACAAAACATTGTGTCTGTTATTTAACGCTATTTGTTCTATGAAAGCATTGCCTTCTTTCTATACAATGATAACAATGGAACAAATCGGTGTTTAATATTTACACAAACACAAAAATGAAGATCTTTTATATGCTAACTTCATACTCAAGAATAATATAAATATGGGAAACCCCGGGTACACTAAAATCTCATTCTAATCCGCCATTGAGCATAGTTCATGTGTTTTGTGCCATTGAATCGGTGATGAACTTAGTCTGCTGCTAATGCCGGATCTAAACTTGTCAAGATAATAAAGAATGAAAGCAAGCATAAGAAAATGCAGTGCACAAATTAGTCAACGTCATAAACGGAAGCAATTTGCTACGCTCAGTAGTTCTTACTATAATGACTGTTCAACTAGCTATCCTCCCTAAAACGCATGTAGTTGAGAAGTATATCTCTTCTCTTGATTTATTTACTCATTTGAAAACAAGCTTACCTTCTTCAGCAAAGCTAATTTTTTATCTGGTTCCGCAAATCTCGGTAAGAGGTCCACGACCGAAAAATACCTGCCTTGTGAATTATTGCGCATTTAAAGTGTTGATTAATTTAATTGTTCGATTTCCCATGTGGCTGATAACAAATAATGTTAAAGGTTGTTTTATCATTAGAATTCCTCAAAAAAACGTTCGCCTTCACAAAATCAGATTACAAACACACAAAATTTCGTCTCTCGCCGCATATTACTTTTAAAATTTGTTAGTGTGTTGCAATTCAGCTTAGTTGAACATAAAAACAAACGTATTTGATGCACATAATTCCTCGATCATTCAGGATTGAACTAAGCTAATTCAGATTCATTTTGTATTTGTCACACAATATGGTGATCCCGCGAAGTAGAATTCATGTGATACTTGACCAATTAAAATTTTAAAATCTCCGTTCTCGATTTCAGAGATTTCTATTGTAATCCCTTTAAAGGAAGATTAGCTTAAGGTTAAAATTAGAGTTGAACTCATAATCAAGTTAAAGATCCAGTCCGGTTTCAATAATATTATACTGATAATGTTAACTTTTCATGTTCATTTAGAACCTGGAGATTTTAATATTTATGAATGAATAATGACTTGCAATTTTTCTATTCTAAGTTGTCAATATAATTTTAAATTATTAAATAATTTAATTTTAATTTAAAATAATTCAAATTACTTAATAATAAACTAATATTACTAGTTTAATCATAATTATAAACATCTTCAAGTTATAATTTTGAATTAATTAATATAATTTTTCATATTCATCATCTAATATAATTAGTAATATATTATTAACTTCTTTTAATTAATTATATACTTGAATATAATATCTTTTCTTGAAGTTTTCAAGTCATCTTGCTGATATTTTGAAATTATTATTATTAATATTTTCAATATTAATAAAATTACATGCTTTATTAAAGTGCTTTTTTTATTATTATAATATTTTTAAATAAAACTTACATAAATTAAAAGATAAATATTATATTAATTTTAGAAAAATAATATTCTTAAATTTATTTTTCTTTGTAATATAAGAATTTTTATTGATACTAAGTCATTTATTACTTTTTTTTGATAATATTTAATATAAAAATAGTATTATAATTAATTGCAACTTGATTATAATTCTCTAATTAACTATCATAATTAATTATAATTAAATTATAATTCTCTAATTGATTATTATTATTATTACAAGTTACAATTAATTAAAATATTATCTTTAATTTAATATAATATTAACTTTATATTTATATTTAAGATCAGGTTAATA